AATACAGTGGCATAGTTTTGAAGTGGGTTTAGCAGACCTTTTGCGTTCTCGGGGATTTCGGAGACTTGGCTTCGATTTCCTGTCGTTCATTCCGGGAGAGCACATCGATTTCTTCCAGCCATCATTTGATAGATTCCGTGAAAAAAGTCTGGATGTCTGGCGAGTTCTTTTCGCGGTAGGAGCGATTTGGTGGTCTTCTTAGCTCAGAGAAAGGACACATACATATACGTAGACCCTGGCTGCACCTATCAGCGAATATTCGATTCGCTTCAGGAGAGGGATTTCGGTGCCGCCAATATGTCCTGGTCTCTTGCGCTTATAGTCAGCATACAAGGCTAAGAGAGGGAAGACATATAAACACACTGTACAATATACTAAATATATTGATACGGCGAGAGGGCATTGGAGAATCTCTCCAATGCCAAGCAATTCGGTAAATTAATTTCCCGACAGCCGAGTTCAAAATTGAGTATCGAGCACGAAGCTATGAGGTAGCGAGGTTGGTAGCACCTGGTAGCACGGGCAACAAGAGGTGATTCACTATTAGTTTAAGGTGACCATTACTCGGTATCTAGAATACGTATTTTGATATCTTCGGCAATAGCGGTGCTCTATCCTCCATCCCATACCAAGAGCTATATTTAAAATAGCAGTTGTGCGCCCACTTTTTCATTCGGGTTGGCGACAATCACTGGTCGCAGTCCCGAGATGCCATGGCCGCAAGATTCGATCATGATATGGGAGCCTTTTCCGCTGGTTGAATCAATGGAATTTTAGGAAGGTTTCTTCCTGCAGATGCCTTACGCTGAATTTTCGGTCCTTACGCTCACGATAGGAGGCCAAATGGCTTGGTTTGTTTGCAAAGGAGTCAGAGATCTTGGAGAACGAGACAACGGCAGCTCATCCAAGCCGCTTATTGATCGATCCCGACGTTCAGCAAGCGGCAGCATGAGGAACCAAAGCTCAATAACGATCATGGAGAGCTATCGAGATCTCTCTGCATAGGATCATTCCTCTACAGGAATCTTCCAAATGCGATGGAGGGTGAGATCCACGGTCTCCAATCATTGAAGATCTCGAAGTGAGCACCTCACAGGCGCAGACTACCAGTAACTTTGGGTCACCAAGCCTCGAGCGTCTTGGGCTGATAAACTAGCCAGAAATGGGGCTACACAGTGGCCAGGGTTGATGCATTATATGTTTACCGACATCCATTATCTTCCCTCGACACTTTTTATTTCCACCAACGACCTCCGGAAAATATGTCGCCCACGATCTCATGAACGCACCTAAGATCAAAGATACAGACTTGCCCACAGGCATCGAGCCCTTGCGACAGTCCGCCATTCCTTATACTGGCACAATAACTACAGGACCAGAGTATTCTGGAGCGCCAGCCACACATCTGCAACCTCTCTCTCCTCCGAGGTTCGCCAATGTTGATACGCACTTTTATTCCGGCCTGTCGCCGAGCGACGCAGGACATGATCAGCACCAGATACCGGGACAACTAGACTACTACATCCAGAGCCCTGACCACGCAGCTGAATTGGCGGCCAGGGAGGAGAGGCGAAAACGCAATACCGCCGCTAGTGCACGGTTTCGAATGAAGAAGAAGCAGAGGGAAGAGGCCTTGGAACGGAAAATGAGCCAAGTACAGGATAGGAACGCGAAGCTGGAGGAGAAAGTGAATCAGTTGGAACTGGAAAACAAGTGGCTGAAGGACCTAATCACGGAGAAGAACAAGAAGCCTGTAGGCGACTACGGAGAGGACGATGACGATCTTGGAACATTAGAACAGTGCGTACCATCAACGGAGCAAGCGGAACGGGTCATGAGGAATAGAGTCTGAGGGTCAGAACCTTTCCTATGTTATCTTGCAACTACAACTCTACGGATGTTTGAAGGGGGCGGGCGGGAATCTGTGTCTGGTCAGAATACAACGCAGAAAGCCCAAGTAGTGCCCAGCGGTCGCACTGAAAGTTGGAAATAGGTTGACGCAAGGTATGGGAAGCATTCCGTTTCGCACGAATGCCTACTGTTAGTTTGACGACGAACCTTTTCCTGGCGCATGTCCACCAGTCGAAGAGGGTCGATTTGGCTCTGTTTCGCAATCACGGATGCCATTCTCGGTGCATTGGAGCCGGCCTGAAGTCGCCATCGGGACTGCAGTGAGGATTGGAGTTGGCGGTCTGATCACGCCATTCTGTGGGACAAGCACGTCTAAGCAGCCTTGCAGGTCGCAAGCCACCCACAACCCCTACGAGTTAGGAGCCCAGGAAAGAAGCATCTGGCCTTTAATCCGGTGGAAGCTCGGCGACGCTCACAATTTCACCGCCTCGATTTCTTAACGGGTCCGCCTCTGCCACGTGCAACTGCTTGAGTGACGAGTCCAAGTTGCAAGTCCATGGAGCACGGCCTGCCATATAATAGGGGTACCTCTGAAGCAGATATCGGCAACTCATCCCAACAGAGGAAAACGCAATGGCTTGGTGGAAGTCGTCGCTACTTGTGCTACTTGGAGCCGTGGGGGGAGGTCTGGCCACGGACTTCAGCAGCAGCAATGGGGCCAGATCGCAGCAACCTCTCGTTTCCGACCGACCCTCCAATGCCAGGCCGAACATCGTCTTCATTTTGACAGATGACCAGGACCTCCATATGGACTCGCTGTCTTATATGCCTCATGTGAAGGAGCATCTCATTGACCAGGGCACGTTTTTCAAACGTCACTATTGCACCATCGCCCTGTGCTGCCCGTCGCGGGTGAGTCTATGGACAGGCAGGGCAGCCCATAACACCAATGTCACCGATGTCAATCCCCCATATGGTTTGTTTTTCTATGTTGGCTCTAGATTTCTGGCACGGTCTCTAACTAGGAGCCTCCCTAGGCGGCTACCCAAAGTTCGTCAGTCAAGGGTTCAATGAGGCATGGCTTCCAATATGGCTCCAAGATGCCGGCTATAATACGTATTACACAGGGAAACTGTTCAATTCCCACAGCGTGAGAAACTATGACTCTCCATTTGTCAAAGGGTTTACAGGCTCCGACTTCCTTCTTGATCCTCACACCTATGAGTACCTGAACGCCAGTTTTCAACGCAATCAAGAGCCACCGGTGAGCCATGAGGGAGAGTATTCGACTGATGTCCTTGCCAGGAAGGCGTATGGGTTCCTGGAGAATGCTGTCTCCGAGCAGAAACCATTCTTTTTGGTAATCGCCCCCAATGCTCCCCACAGTAACGTCAAATTCGAGGAAAATTGGTTCAATGGCAGTGCCTCAGCTCACACGATCGTGACCACCCCTCCCATCCCGGCAGAGAGGCACAAACATTTGTTCCCGAACGCTGTCATCCCACGCACTCCAGGCTTCAATCCAGACGAGGTGAGTTGATACCCCTTGACCCTTTTGCAAGGCTTGAACTAAAGACCAGAACCTAGCCTCACGGCGTTTCCTGGATTAGCAATCTGCCCAAGCAGAACCAGACTAATGTTGATTTCAACGACGAGTTCTATCGTGACCGCCTACGCGCTCTCCAGGCGGTTGATGAGATAGTGGATGGTGTCATCGCTCGTCTGACAGAACATGATCTTCTCGAGAACACTTATGTTTTCTACTCGACCGACAACGGCTATCACATAGGCCAACACCGGCTGCAGCCGGGCAAAGAATGTGGCTATGAAGAAGACATCAATATACCATTGATAGTACGTGGTCCGGGGATACCAAGAGGAAGCTCCAGTGATCTTGTCACTTCCCATACCGATCTGGCGCCTACCTTCTTATCTCTTGCCGGTGGACAGCCCCGACAAGATTTCGACGGCAGGGCTATCCCCTTGACCACTGATCAAGTTGACGACAATTCTGACCTTCGCGGAGAGCATGTGAACATTGAGTATTGGGGCTTTGCGCTTGCAGAGGGCAAGTACGGGAATGCGATGTACTGGAACAACACCTACAAGGGGCTCAGAGTGATCGGCATCAATTATAATCTCTATTACAGTGTCTGGTGTAGTGGCGAACACGAGCTCTACGACTTGCGAGTATGCCTTTTGCTCCCTTCCATTGATTATGATCCTCTGTGGGACTCTTCCAGGACTGACACCACCCTCAGAACGATCCCTACGAGACGCATAATCTGTACAAATCGAATCATTCGTCAATTTTCCACTTTCCAGCCACAGACTCGAAGATTCGATCAACCACAGCTACATTGCAGCATCTTATCTCTCGCCTCGACTCGCTCGTCATGGTCCTGAAGACATGCAAAGCACGGAGTTGTACTCATCCATGGGAAAGTCTCCATCCCGACGGCGATGTCGACAATCTCCAAGATGCTCTGGATGCACGTTACGATGACTTTTATGAGCTTCACCAGGAAAGAGTCCGGTTCGAAAAATGCGAGAAGGGTTATATACTGGAAAGCGAAGGTCCGCGGCATGTCAGGGCATTTCCCCTTGGTGATATTGGACCCAGGGGAGGCGTTCAGTGGAGTGAGCTTGTATAGAATGTTATATCACATAGAAGGGGCGCAACAGAGGTATCCGACTGATCGGCTCGGCACTCTACACAAAAATTCGCCAACTATTTAGACCAAGACATCCGAGGGACACTTGCCCCGGCTTATTATGCCCAGGTCAGATTGGCTTGTGCCGGAAATGTCCACTGAGACACCGAGATAGGGAGACGGCTACCATGCACATCCAGGAAGTGTATATGTAGCGTGCTGAATCCTGGACTGACTAGCGATGCTTGATGCCTGATACTTGATACGTGCTCGCTTCGCGATCTTGCGTGATCAGGAGGCGGATCCGTCCTTCGGCTGGCATCTTCCGTCAGCCTAGTACTACCTCGTATTTCGTGTCCTCCAGTTGACCGACCTTTTGGATTTCGCCGACGCGGAACTCTGAGTGGATGTGTCGGTGTCGCTCGCACATAGCGGGACAAAATATGTTTTGTGTAGGTGACTCTCGCCCACGCGAGATCGCAGCAATTGACTACAATGGGCGACATTGCTGCGGATGAGACGACGGCGCTGCTGCAGAACGATGCCGAGTCGTCGGACTTTGAGCAGCAGTCATACAGGACCTCATTAAGGCGACACTCGTCCTCCAACCTCCCTCCATATCACGAAGACCCTACGCCTGCGGCCGAGCCCTCGTCGACGCTGACCATCTGGACAATTGTTCCTGTCTCCCTGCTTGGTTTGTCCGGAGAAGGAGTCCGCACATGGATGAGACCACGGCATGCTAATTTGGGCCCCAAGGTGTTTTCGTCGCCAACCTCGATGGCAGCTTGATCATCGCGTCAAGCCAACAAATTGCCTCCGAGTTCAATGCTCTGTCAAGTGCGTCGTGGCTAGTCACCAGCTTTGTGCTAGCCCTTTGTGCCAGTCAACCCCTGGTAAGACATCCTCCCAAAGGCAACCCGGTCAAGCCTCTCCTGACCCGTGTCTCCGACTATAACAGTACGGGAAGTTGAGCGACATATTTGGCCGACGAAGTAACCTGAGCGTGTCCTATATTTTCTTTGCAGCAGGATGTTTCCTTTGGTGCGTGCCTCCAAGGGTTGAACGTGGCGAGCATCCCTACTTACATCCCGCAGCGGTATCGGTCAAGAATACTGGCATGTAGTCGCTGGGCGAGCCATATCGGGCATTGGAGGTGCTGGAATGACGGCGCTGGTGTCTATCATCATTGCCGGTGCGGCTGCTGCTTTCTATCAATATATGACATTTATCTAACTCCTGCAGATGTGGTTCCCGTGAGAGAAGTCGCAAGCTGGAGGAGCTACGTCAACATGGCTGCCACGACAGGGCGAGCCGTTGGTGGCCCTCTGGGCGGCTGGCTTTGCGACACGATCGGTTGGCGATGGTGCTTCTACGGCCAAGTGCCTCCCACGATTCTCGGACTCCTCCTCATCCTGTGGAAGTTGCCAAACAGAACGCGAAAATCAGCCAAACCTGACGAAGAAGCTTCCTTCAGGCAAAAGCTCGGAAGGGTGGACATGATGGGCGCTGTCACCCTGATCGCTACGATCATCAGCTTCCTTCTCGCCCTGGAGTTCTTGAACGGGGATCTTCCGATTGCCTACACCGTTGTCCCCACGGTCCTTTTCCTGGCATTTACGACTCTCTTCTACCTGACCGAGAGCCGATGGGCCAAAGAACCGATCCTGCCCATCGAGCTTCTCACCAGCCGAGCAACCCTGACGGCATACCTGCTGGCGGGTCTGCAGATGACAGCCCAATTCAGCCTCTTCTACTCGGTCCCCATATATTTCCAAATCATTTCAGGCTCAAGCGTCGGCGACGCTGGACTCCGTCTTGTCCCAGCCGTCGTGGGCAACGCTACCGCAGGCCTGTTGGCAGGTTACACCATCTCAAAGACTGGCAAATACAAGCTCTTTACGCTCCTCGGCAACGCGGGAGGGTGTCTGGGCTATCTGATGGTTCTCCTCCGCTGGCGTGGCGCAATTCACCCGGCCGAAACGCTGTACCTGTTCCTTGGTGGCTTCGCCTCGGGCACGAATCAGTCGACGACGTTCATCCACCTTGCAGCGAGTCTGGAACAGAGCAAGATGGCCATCGCCGGCACGACCCTGTATCTGTGCCACAACTTGTTTCTTCTGATTGGCATCCAGTTTTCCACCGCACTTCTTCACGCCCGGCTGAGAATCAGCCTAGAATCCGGCCTGGATGGTGTCAAACACAGGTCAAAGGCATGTTGTAGTACTATCTTGTTGCTAACGCGAATTCATCCCGCCCCATCCAACACAGACTTCCCTCCCGTTCTTACCCTTGAGTTTTATTGGGACAACAAAATAGTTGCCGGGTCTGACTAACACAATCTCACATCGGAATGATAGATTATCGAGTCTGCCGTCTCCAGCGTCAACTCCATCCGGCACTTACCGCCACGGATCAGGGACATCGTCGTGCGAGCCTATATCGATGGCTTGAGCTGTACCTACGGTAAATGAATTCCCCCCTCCTTCCTCAACCCATCCATCCCGTCTGAAGGAGAAAACGAGGCCGCGAAGTTGGTTTTGAGAAAATCCCTCGTCTAATATACCAACTGAAATACAGCCATGTCCTTAGCTTTTGCTTTCTTGGGATTGTTGGTCGCCATCACCATGAGGGAAAAGAGATTATAGATGGGGCAAGAATGATACCAAAGAAAAGGAGAAGGGGGCCGGTTTCACAGAAAAGAAAAGAAAAGTAATCAAGACCGGATTATATAGGCTGACATCTCGGGATCCGAAAAAGAGGTGCGATGCGCACCAAATTTGGGAGGCTCTGAAAGCACAACCCGACAACGAGAAGACGAACAAGGGCGGATCCAGGAAATGTATAGATTGACAGACAATCGCGATGCACAATGCGCGATGCACGGACGAACGGTCCACAAGTCGCGGGGAAGGGCTCGGCAGGTAATATCCATTCATTCGCTCCGTATATGCTCTATATCTAAATGCCCGAGCCCCGAGCCCCGAGCGTGGAGCTAAGAGTCGAGGACGAAAGCAGTTCTATCGTAGACACTAGAGCCGGCAAGACACCCCTCTGTCGAGCAATGGACAGCGGATTTTTTATGTCCCTTTCCCCCTTTCGCCTCCGCTTCAAGCCATGGACGAACTCGTCAAACAAACAAACGGGATCGCTCAGTGGAGGATTTATCGTCTACATATGATAGCATTCCCCACCACGCACAGCGCAAGGCCAGGGGAGTCGCTCCAAGGGCGCAACTTCAACTAGCCAGACGGGGGGTTCTTCAATGAGCGAATCTGAAATCCAGCCTCTTGTTCCCCTTGTCGTCGGTGGTGCGGAGGTATTCGAGCCTCTCTTCGCGGGTCATGGTGTTCCAGATGGCGTCCCTCTGGGCGTTCTTGCGGACGTAGTAGATCTTCGCGCCGATGAAGACGACGATGTTCCAGGCCAAGACGCCCAACAGGGCCTTATTGCCCGTGTAGTAGTACGGCGCGTCGGCCTGGCGGTAGATCTGCGACGAGAAGATGTTGGACGCCTGCACGGCCATGTTGTACAGCGAGGAGCCAACGGTGCGGGTGCGCACGGACCCGGCGTTGCGCGACGTCAGCGCCACGAGGATCGCGTGCACGTAGGGATAGCCCACCAAGAGGGTCGAGATCGTCCACTTGGACCAGTTGGAGCCGTGGAAGTGCGGTGGTAGCGTGACCAGGGCAATGAGGAGCGGGAGAGACCAGATCTGCGAAATCACCCCGAGCAGGAGTCGCTGGTTCAGCTTTTCTGACACCCATGTCCAGAACAGCAGCTGGATGATGAAGAGGGTGTAGGCGGGGATTGTCAGCAGGTTGGTTTCGAAGGTGTCGAATCCCAAGGCCTTGCAAGTCAAAGTGATATATGCCTGAGGAGGTGTGCTCGGTATGGTCCACGATAGACCGATGAGGTAGATCGGCCACATATCATAGTCCGTGAGGGCTGCCCAAAAGAGGTCGAAGCTGAGACCTTGACGGTTATGCATGGTCGCTTTGCCAGGGTCATCCCGCAGGATACGTGTGACCATGATGGTTTCTTCTCGCTCCGTGAACCAGCCTTTCTTTGGTCGTAGAAGCCCCTTTGTCCAAATCTTCTTCCTGCCGTTACGGGCAGCGGCGTTACGAGCGGTCTGAGTCGGTGAGGCCGGCAGGTATAGCCAGGTTAGAATACCAATCAAGCCAGTGAGGGCGCCTTCTATGGCAAATAGATATCTCCACCCGGCGATGCCGCCGTGTCCCCGGAGATGGAGGATACCATAGGCAAGGAAAGCTCCAACGATTTGGGTAGATTGGTAAGAGGTCCAGAACCAGCTCAACCGTTTCGGAAGTTCGGCGTTTGTGAAAAAGTAACTGAGGTACAGGATGGTGTCGGGAATGAAACCTCCCTCGATAAGGCCGAGGAGGAAACGGCAGATATAGAAGCTTGTTTTCCCAGACAGCGCAGCCTGTGACGCTGCAACTGCACTCCAAGCCACCATCTGGATGGGGATCCAGGTATCTGGGCCAAGCTTCTTGCTGACAAGCTGAGACGGGAGCTCTGCAAACAAGAAGGAGCAGTAGAATATCGTCATGCCGTTATTATAATTGTTGGTGTTCATACCGAGATCCTCTACCCGCTTGTCAGTATATAGTAGATGCCTCATAGGGATGACCTCCATACTTAGCATGTTGTCAGATAACGCCTGCGTGATATTGCCTCGATCAAGTTGAAGTGCGAAGAACATGATGCAAGCAGGAAGCGCAATCCGCCAGTCGAGCTAACAGCCCGTGTCAGTTGTGGCCAGCAATGGGGATTCTGTGTCATGTGCGAGACATACTTTCCGGACCAAGGCTTTTTCCTCTGCCTGAGTCCATTCAGCCGAGGGATCGAAACGATGTGTGCCTTCAAATCCTTCAATCGGTTTGTAAATTTCGGTTGCTTCGGGAGCCTCGTAGACGTTGTTCACGTTCTTGACGAGCGAGGGGTCAGTCGGCTCTAGAGACGACGTCTCTGAGTCTAGATCGATGTCCACGTCGACAGAAACATGGCTGACATCCTTGCCGCCGAGCTGCCACCACTTGCGTGGTTTTATCCTCCTTATTTCTTCTTTATTCCCTTCAACCGTGGATGGAATCACCTCGGACTCAATTGATTTGTCCATTGTTACTTCAAGACTTGGATAGGCCCGAGAGGGTTGCTGTGTGACAATATCCAAGACAGGGGACTAGGGCAGAGCAGATGGGTTATATAGAATATGAACCACTTTCTTCCGCCACCTCTCGGATGGAAGACCTTTCAGCATTATAGCCTCTCGGCGAGGTACGGGCTGCGGAGACGAGTTCTAGACGACGCCGGCTCTTTTGTTTCTACTTTTTTTTTCCTCCCCGAGACCATTGCCACACCAAGCTGGGCCATGGTGGATGGTGTAGTCAAATCGTGGGAAGATTGCGTGATTGAAAACATGTCCTGTTAGGACTGTACCTTGCCGTTCATGAAGTGGTCAGCCAGTGGTTCTCGGCCAGTATGCTGCGACGTTCACTCGCCCTCGAGAATGCTGCCGCTCCGGCCATGTGCCGCTCCATCTGACTATACTTGGCGTCCCAGGCTTGTCGATCCAATGTAGTCAGCAGAATCTGCAACTGGCAGCTGTGTTGCAGGACTGTTTATTCCAGTACCTTAGCCCGGGAGGCACGTTCAACTAGCCGCCATCCTGCAGGTCAGATATCAAGGTTCATGGTACGACGTGTACCAAAGGCGGCCACGCAAAGGCCTCAAAGACAAGAAACCGACATCTTTAGATTGACTTCCCATGCTTGGTTCGCTACACCGTTGAAGAAGCACACGACGTGGTGGAGATAGGGTTTGCGAGGAAAGTACCGATTGGTGGAGAAAGACTGCAAGCTTGATGTTGAAGGACAACCGACATCTTGGACGGACAAAGCACGCCATCACGGGCATTCTGACACCTTTTTCACTCCACTCTTGGGCTGGTCGAGTCTCATTCCAGGCCCCCGTGGGCACATCTCGTACTGCCCTTTGTAAAGGACGACAACTTTGACTTATCTTATTGGTCCTCTGTTCAAAGGCAATTGCCCTTATCATTCCCGCCAAGTCGTCTTCCACGAAGTCGATTGCGAGGTGAGAGGAGTTCGCGTGCTGGTTCACTGCCCCCTGCATGGCGAAACACAGTCGCTAGCTCGTGTAATATGCCAGAGATTCTGAAATGACCCGTAGATCAAGTTAGGAGTGCAGGAGAAGCGAAAAGACATGACACAGAAACATGAGATGTCAAGACGTAGTTGAAGCCAAGCCTCACGTGATGCACCGCAATGTCAACAAGCCGCAACCCGCACAGTTTGTCACGTTTACAATAACTGCCCCGAGATAGAAGAGTCTGTTGCGATAATGTCGTACTTAAGCTGAGGCGGAGCCAGCTCGCATATGACACTATGGCCTGGTTTTCTCCCAAAATCTTCGAGCGGCGTTGATTCGACTGGACCGATACGAGCAGTTAAAATCTTTTCAAGCACAAAGCAATGTGTGAGGCCTTGCCATTTTGCGCCATTCCCGCTTGAAATGGTGTGAGCACCGCGGTTACGTGGGACAGCAGTTACCATGGAGATGAGCCCAGAGACCCCGCAGATTGCGGAATCAAGACGACTAAGCAGATAGGACAACCATCGCGTCTAGCAATGCACTTGTGGCATCATCTATCGCCAAGTTGTAGCGTGCCTGTATTCGACGAGGTTTAACGCTGATGGCAAAGGACTATATAACTGTACTGCGCCCGACGTTGAGAATCGAGAGTTCACTACAAGAGCCAAAGGAATCGACGACAGTGCGTTTTCTTTGATCTACATCAATATGGCGCCTTCCGCTATCGAGTTGGACACTCCTCTACAAGACTACATCAAACAGAAGACCTTGTTCGGAAGGGAGCCTCTAAAATCGTCTGGCTCTCTCGACCAGTTTAAATCCATTGATCTCACTCCCGTTATTGGTACGGAGTTCCCTGAAGCGAATCTTGTCGAGTGGTTGAATTCACCAAAATCCGACCAGCTTCTGCGCGATCTTGCAATTAAAAGTAAGCCCATTCGGGCCTATCTTCGGGTGAAGTCATACTTATCATGTCAGTATCTGAGCGCGGAGTCGTCTTCTTTCGGAAACAAGACAATCTCACAAACGACATACAGAAACAGCTCATCCAGCGACTCGGTGAGCTGACCGGAAAGCCTGAGTCTTCGAAACTCCATATTCATCCTATCTTGAACTCTGAAAGAGAGCTGGGAGGCAGTGATCCAGAGATCAGCACTATCAGTTCCGTCCAACATGACAAACTCTATAAAAAGACGCCATACGATCAGAGCAAGAAGATCCAGGGCAGTGCGCAATGGCATAGCGACATAGCATTTGAGCCAGTCCCCGCGGATTACACTTCTCTTCGACTTACCCAACTGCCTCGCACTGGTGGAGGTTAGTCGTACTTTTGCCTTGAAAATGGCGATGATTACTTACTTACAACACACCAGATACTTTATGGGCTTCGGGTTATGAGATTTATGATCGAATCAGCGAGCCCTACCAGAAATTCCTCGAAACGTTGACCGCTACATTCGCTCAACCAGCGTTCAATGAAGTTGCTGATAAAGGAGGCTTCCAGCTCTATACCAAAGAAAGAGGGTCGCCGGAAAATGTCGGGGGCGAACTGAAGGCCATTCATCCTGTAGTTCGAACCAACCCGGTGACGGGATGGAAGAGCATTTTCCCTGTGGGCGGCCATGTCCGCCACATCAACGGATTGACCGAGCAGGAGAGCAAGAACCTCCTCGACTGGTTTCTGGATCTCGTGTACAAGAACCATGATCTTCAGGTCCGGTTCAAGTGGGAAAATCCAAATGACATTGGTGAGTAAACATGGACACCGTGCGAAATCGAATTCTGACAGGGAGCTAGCTATCTGGGACAACCGTAGCGTGTTCCACTCTGCTACCTATGACTATCGCGGTGAAGGAGACCGCTTTGGAAACAGGGCAGTTGGTCTGGGGGAGAAGCCTTACTTTGATCCCAACAGTACATCAAGAAGAGCGGCACTGGGGAAACTAGACACCAATTAGATCTAGCAGATTGCGGATTACGATCAATAAAAGGACATTGGAAATGCCCATCTGAGTTGGTCATGCTCTCCCGAGCCCGAACGACATCAAATATATTAATATGCTTTTCGATTTTTTGGCCGAGTCGGGAACTTTCCCGCTAGCTACGTCTCGCCGTAAAATCCGCGAATAAGAATCACCAAGCGATCAGAGCCCCAACGACAATATGTAGGCTAAAGTCGCGCTGGAACGAGGTGCTCACGTGGTGCAATAAGGGCAATCAGGAACCCTGCCGGTCAAAGTCGGGGGGAGGGTTACTGCAGATCGAGTTGGGGGGGGGAGGGTCGACGAGATGGAAGATTTGACGGAGGGAAGGTCGGTGGCTCGTCGATGGCTTGACTCGTTGTAAGAAGAGAGATCACTAGAGAGGAAGAATCAGTGGAAAGTTGAGCTCGTTCTCTATGTCGCGCCGTACAAGGCGTGTTAATTGCAGAGCGGTTACCCGAAGCTGGGACGAAGAAAAAAGCGAACGGGGGCGTCGGGGTCTCCAAAGAGATTCAAAAACTGACCAAAGCGACCAGGGAACCGTCTTCTCAATAAACCATATCCCGGCGTGGTGAAACACCCTGCATGATGAAATCTGGTCCAGGTACTTCGAGTTTCGACGCTTCGCACTCCCCCCTATCACGCCGTGCGACAGTTCAAGGGTTTTCGGATCACTTTAGCACATTCATTCTGGATATAAGGACCGTTATTATCGGAAGTTACCTAGAGCGTGGTACATATTACTCTCCATCACTTTGATCTGTACATGAGTGCCATCTAAAAAGCTTCTCTGCCACATAACAAAACGAAAGTTACCCTTCAGTTCCGTTAGAGAACATATATCGAACCTCGATAGCTTTTCCAGCTTCACAGTTGAGCAGCCTTTCGCAATGGTCATCAACTCATCCATGTCCGTTGGATAGCTTGGCAGCAATCCTCAGACAGCCTTAACTGAAGATAGATACATTTACCGCTGCACAATATCCCCTTTTCAGCTGATAGCCGGGCCGTCGACTCGAGCGCTAGGATCTAGCCATGGCCTAGATGCACAGGAGCCGGCTCATGGGGGTGTTGGACAACTTTGAGCTTCATACCCGCAATTTCGAATGTCTCCCTCGTTCTCCCCTTCTGGGATTCAACGTCAGTCGTGGGCGGCGGTGTTGGATCACGAATTGGGGGAGAATAACTGCGACGAGCGTTCTTCCACCCCTGCCAGTAAATGTATGTCAGATAGCCAAATGAGGCCCTATTTGTATATTTAGCGCCACAGTGGCGACCGGGTCGAACTTGCGATACTTACCAGTTGACGAAGCCGCAGAAGGTGGCAAAACCATTGGCGCTTGATACACCATCACGAGTCTTGTCCGTTTCGGTGTCAAGATTCGAGCTCATCATGATGAGGCCGATGAAGCCAAAATACCAGAAGAAAGAGGCCGCCGCTTCAGCACCAATGCGCAGGATGATCAGGAGACCGTGGCAATGGCGTGTGATTTTCAGGAGGATGCCTTCTACCAAGCCGACATAGAGCAGGAAAGGGACTGTATATCCGGACTAGAGAAGAGACATACAGGTCAGATCAGCTGGGTCGAATCTGGTAAGGTGAACTTTATACCAGGATCAGAACATAGGTCCACCATCCTCTCTGCAATTTGTCTTCGTGCTCGGTAGAGACATAATTGACAATGGTAAGGATGAGAACTAGCATAGTACTCAGAGCCTGGATGGCGCGGAGAAGAAGTATTCTTCGTGAAGGCCTCTCCCTCTCTGGTTCTTTCTTCTCCCGGCGTGGTGGCTCCGGAGAACGGGATTAAGAAAGTTCTCCACGAAATCGAAAGAAGGTTATTCTCAACCAAGAGATCGCCATCCTTGCTCTTATCCGCGAGGAGCTGTCAAAAATGAAAGATGAGGTGAATGATCCACGAATGCCAGAGTCGCCATGGACGAACAACTATATCTTCGTCTCGACATCGTGCTTAATAGGAGGCAGCCTGTTTGGACTGGTATCTTTGGAGCATGGAGGAATCTTGATGAAACAAGGGTACAAGGCGCTATTACCAACTGTGGCGGAGGGCATCGTTGGAGACCTGAAGAGGCGGCCCTTCGCGATGTTCTGGACGTCAAAACATGCATATACATACTGGGTCGAATACAGGGGTAGAGTTGCGAGCCAGGCTGTGTTTGGCTGAAATGGAGTCAACAACGTCGCCAAGCCATTGCTAGCGAGACAATGGCTTCGCGGCGGCCAAGGTGGCCTAGTGCAATCTCCTTCGCAACGCGACAGCCTTACCAGCAGTCTAGGAGAGGAGGGATGTACTCGGTATGCAAAGGAGCTTTTCCGACCGAGGAGTATTTTCCATGTGTCTCGTACCTCGTGTCGTGGAAAAATGAAGGCATTAAAATAAGGGGTTGGCTTTTGGCTAGAATCCCAAGTACGTGGCGCTTGTCCAGTCTTATTCAGCCTTGTCCCCAGATAACCCTCCTCCAGGGGCTCATGTTCGTAGAAGTTGGTTGCCTCTTATAACAAATCGGGAATGTCGTTCCCATCCGTGCCTATTAGCAGGCCACACTTCCATAAAACCCCTTGTCAACTTTTGCGCCGCCAAAATTCATTGGAAACCTCTCTGGCCACCGCCCAGACTGAGATTTAATGCCATCGAACCGCAAATGGGCCGGGAGTCGCCTGCGCAGGAGGAAGGCGACGATAAGGGGGGACAAGCCTCCTAAAGATGCAGCAGTTGCGGATGTTCTGGACTGCTCCGAGCAGTACTCCCAACCAAAGACACGAGGAGAAGGTAAGGCCGCCTCGTGGATTACTTCCCAGGACTTTCGTCCAGCAGACCATTCATATTCTAATCACCACACATAGCATCCAGAAGCATCCCAGTGGAAACGAGTCAGATCTCGCAGCCAAATGGTGTTGCCACTATTCCTCCATCTACCACAAGGAGCTTTAATCAATCTCTACTTGATGGAAGCGGCTCCATGACTACTAACGAAGCTCAGAGCTCCACGACTGTTCGTTCAAGCAGAATCTCGAATTCCTCTTCGTTTTCAACGGCCCATGCCTCAAATGTGAAGCCTTACGAGTACAGGTTACTCGAACCAGGTCAGAGTCGCTTGCTAGAGATACTGCCAGGAACTGGGTCGAGGACTGCCACTTCAGGTCAAGGGTAAACATGTACACATTTCGCATGCTACCCGAGTTCCTGGGTTTTACTGCAATCTCCTATATCTGGGGCAATGTCAACGACACCCGGACTGTCGCTGTTATCAACTCAGAGTCCTTAGGCGGTCAAAGCCAGCTACGGATAACTGCCAATCTGCATCACGCACTTTGTCAAGTTCAGAAATTTGGTACTCCGGTCTGGGCCGATGGGATCTGCATCAGCCAAAACGCCGAATCGGGGGCTTTTCTCAGGGAGAAGGAACAGCAGGTGGAAATGATGGGGCAGATTTACAGCGGTGCCCTATAGTGTTGGCGGATCTCGGCCCGGAAGATGAATATACAGAAACCGCTCTCAAGATGGTGAAGGCAATAAGACATGCCATGGATATAATGACCGCCGAGAAACGAAGCAAGCCTCTACTTGATCCAAACGATCGACAGTGGCGGCATGGGTGAAGTTGCTGGCGTGTTCTTGGTTCCGCTGCATGTGGATTATCCACGAATTTGTCATGGCAAGGAAAGGTTCCATGACACTAGGACAATCGGGATTAGCCCACAATCTCAGCACCCTTGCGAAGTTGATTGATATATCTGTATCGCTTGGATTTGGGGAAGCAAACCGCAGGCGAGGGCCAGGGTACCAGCGATGAAGAGAAGTTGACTACAAAGAACACCTCTGAAACCTACGGCAGGATATATGCATGGCGTCATTTGATGCATGAAGACCGGGAACAAATCAACTTCCTCACGGCCGTCCCTGTCTCGATGAGATATCAGATGACCAACCCGGTCGATCGGTATTATGCTCTGTTGGGAATCTGTGGGCAAGATCGATCGTCAGATCCCAGACTCGCTGTCAGTTATTCAGAACCTGAAGCTGATGTACAACGCCGCTTTACGAGGTATGTGATTGAAGAAAGCGGTTGTGATGCCGTGACCCTCGTTGCAAACTTTGGAGGGCGAAGGCTAGACTTTTCGTCTTGGTGCCCAAACTGGCGCCGGGGCAACCACGCACCAGTACCCTTGGCTGTTTCCATGGAGGACGGAGCCCATACTGCGCCTACAACGACCACAGATTGCTGTCAACATGAATTTTTATATCGTGCGGGTGGCAGATCTCTGCCAGATATTAGGTTTAGCAGCGATGGGAAATGCATGATACTCCGAGGTAGCCAGGTGGACGAAGTCGCCCATGATATGGGAACTCCGTTCAGCACAGCATGGAGAGTGGAGGTTGAACCAACACGCAATCGGCTATTGAAGGATTGGAACGACCGGACACTTGAGGCCCTTCGGCAAGTATTTCGACATTTCGATCCTGTCTGGGAAGCCGTTTGGGATCCGTCACCCTTGCATTGCCGCATACCAGGACGCTTTTGCTCATGCACTGACAGGTGCAACGCCAGAGCAGTGCAACTCGCCTGTCGTATACGGAGCCCTGGGGTTTGAATACGCCGTCCTCGAGGGGGGAGAGGATGGTGGAAACTAAGTCTCTCCTTCGCCGCTGAGACTCAACCCTGCTCATTATGATTCAGTGGCGAACTACTTGAGCGACCTGAAGATTGGTGTGGCCGGCGAGACCTATTCAGAACCGTCTCGCCGGCCCTGATGTGCGGCCGCCAGTTGTATATCACGAAACAAGGCCGCTTTGCTCTCCTATCTTCTGAGGCGAGACAAGGCGACAAGATCATCATCTGCAAAGGCTTTCCGACTCCTTTCGTTCTCCGTAAGGACCTGGTCTGCTACAGATTAGTGGGTGTGGCATATGTAGAAGACCTCATGAGCGGTGAGGCCTTGAGCCGTTCCGGCGACTTGACACAAGAGGAGAGCTTTTATATCGAGTGAAATTTCTCTGTCCTCAGAGGATGACCTGACCCTTGAGTAGTCTCGTGAATATCTTAACGTTCCGTATGCATCAGCTGTCGATAGAAAATCGTGATGAAGGGGAGGTCGGTTCCACAAACTGTCTATACATGGTAAAAGAGCCCGCACACCCTGTAACTGCAAAAGTGCAGTTCCCTCAAGATTAGACTTTTCAATCTTGAGGGTAAGAGTCGAGAAACTCGGTGGGATTGCTTGCAATCTTGCCCGTGCAAGATGAAGAAGTTGCTTTGGTAACAAAAGTCGAGGCTTGGGAAAATATTGTCATGTAGGGTCCGGCTGCCCAGCGACGGCATTGATCCTTGGCCCCATGGAAGCTTATACCAGCTTGCGAATGGAGAGACCGACAATTGCTCTCTATTGCGGCGAGAGTTCTGGCGCCGCGCTGAGCCATGTTGCCCAGACCTTTTGGCATTTCTCCCCGCGGCTGTAAAAGGTATGATTGAGATCCTGATAAGGCGCCACGGAACCCGCTGAAAACCGCCGTCGACATCGACACCACCGCCATCACCCGTGGATCTTCGATGTCTTGCAAGTCTTTCGCGCTGAGAACAGCACCATCCCATATTCAAGAACCTAGGCACCGAGAGTAGGGAAAAGTTGCTGCTTATTAAGAATGGCATGGGTGCAAGTCGAGCAGGATCTGCGCAATAGAATTAAGAGAGAAGATTACCGCTGCATTCAATATCTCACCATTCAGTGGGCTATCGGTTCAGCCTCGCAGCTCGAGTGACCGACACCCTGGAAAAGACCATTATGAAAGGTAAGCCAAAAAAAAAAAAACAATCAACAGTCAGGATTCCCAACTGGTCACCCACGTTAGTACTAACTGACCGGCACATGGCTTAAGTACGGCTGAGCGGACGGGAAGCCCTGCTTTCCATGTCCTATGGTCGATTGCGGGAGGTTACTGAGGAGATACAATATATATAGAGTCACTAATGAGTTGATGAAATAGGTTCGTAGTGTGATTTGCACGACAGGGGTTATTCGGGGACTCCCAGAACTAAATACTACAGTAACTACTCGGTAGATACTGCCTAGGTTACTTGCGAACGAAAAAGACGGCACTGTCTGGGAAAATAAGCTGCTACATCTGCCATTTCCTCCTCGGCCTTATCGAAGGAGGTCTTATTCTCCTCCCATATATCTCCCTTTGGCTATTTAGCGCACCCGTGAGCACCCAAGGGGAATTTTCTCGTTTAACTGCCGTCCCCCTGGGGCTTGGACCCCCCAAAAATAGGGCATTGTTGGAGGCAATTGGCTCCTAGCTAAAATGATTGTTTCCGGGAGGACAGGTTCGCGCGACATTACCACACACAGTGTTATATTGTACACAATGCAACTGGGCTGTTTCTGCACTGGCCACCGCTCAGTCCAAAAAATCTTGGCATCACCCACGTGTTCCCTTGAACTCTCCTCCTGTGAAGCCTTTCTCCACCATCAATTTGATAGCATAGTGGTGAAATCGATATTGATCCGGTGCATGCACCGGTCCCCGCTGCTCTCCTCTAGTCACTAAAACGTTATCATTGTGTAGTCGAACTGCTCAGACAGCTTCGGGATTACCATTTCTGGCGGGTTCCTTTCTCAGCCTCGCTGGATCCCCGCACGCCAATCCAACGCCGTCGCGCCCTTCAAGTCATTGCATCTCGCACCATGCGTGGCAGTGACGAAATCAGAATTCCCCAGCTTTTGAAAATGGAGGTCATGCAATGCATGTCACACGGTATCGAGGAGGTGCGATAAACCATAAACCCCCCCGGAATGTCTGTCGCATAGTCGTTCGTTGTCCATGTGTCTCTCAGTTTGTTATTAACTACATTCGATTTGCTCTGCTCATTATTATTCGGCATTCTACACCAGGTGGTGAACAGACATGGACTTGAAGGTCAAGGTCGAGTGCCATTGCCGGCTCACGTCCTTCTCCCTCTCAATCCCTTCTGACTCGCTTCCGCTGAAATCTGCACTCTGTCACTGCCACTCGTGCCGCCATTGCACTGGCCAGCTGTTTGCGACCTGGGCCGTGATCCCCACCGACTTGCCACCGAGCGTCCTCAATGGAGGGAATCTGGTCAAGTACGAATCCTCGCCGACGTGCCAGCGCTGGTTTTGCAAGCGGTGTGGCGCGAGTGTCGTCAATGTCGACAGGGGAGAGGGCCCGGAAGAGTGGGAAGTGGGCACAGGAGTGCTCTACTTTGAAGACCCCAAGCACCTGGAAGGGAAGTTGAATCGAGTGCAGCTCTGGGTTGAGGATGTCAAGGGGGATGGAGGCACGGTTGGTTGGATCAACCAGGGAAAACTAGAGGGGATGGATAGGCACTGGAAAGGACGACAGAGTAACATGGTCAATGACGACGCTGTCAGGGATCTCATGAGACGCAGAGGCGATGATCAAGACGATTGTGAACGGCTTATTGTGCAATGTCACTGCCAGAACGTCAAATTGGAAATCTCGAAGCCTTCCAACGGCCACAATGCAGGGGCCGGGAAGTTCGAAGCAAGCCTCGATGCCTGTACTTCTTGTCGGACCGTGACTGGGTTTGAAATCACCTGCTGGGCCACGGTGCCCAAGACTGTCATTGTTGCGGAACCGGATTTGGAGTCTCTGCTAGTCGATAAGGGAAGGCTAGGCTACTACAGCACATCGTCAGGGGTGAGTCGCTTTTTCTGTGTAAGGTGTGGTGCAACAGTCTTCTACTACAAGCATGACCTTGAAACGATTGATGTTGGTCTCGGACTTCTGGAGCCCAAAGTCGAGGGGGCTGTCCGAGTAGAGTCGTGGCTCGAATGGCAGAAGTATCCCAAGTGTTTGGTGTTTGAGGAAGATGCAATCGACACAGAATTTGTCAGTAATTTGAAAGAAGGCATGAGGAATTGGGAGAGGAGCTGAGCAATGATTAGCAGAGAAGTCTATCGACTTGGAAGTCGCGCTGCTAATCGGTTGTAAGACTCATTCAATTACGTGCTCGTGCTGTACAATATTTCGCCTCTGCGACCTTTTTAACTGGAAAACCTCTTCTCAGCAGCCTTCCAGTTGATGACATCCCAGATGGCGCTGAAGTACTCGGCCTTTCGGTTCTGGTATTGCAGGTAGTACTATTTCATTGTCAACGAAATCGAAGCTGGCATGGGACGGTAGGGGGTTTCTCTCACAGCATGCTCCCAAGCGTCGACACCTAGCAATGGCTTATATCGGCCGACGACGGGATCCTGATTCGCATACGTCTGGATCATGATGTTCCCGGTCTGGGTATCCTTGACCAGCCAAGCCCAACCGGAACCCTGGATGCCGGCCAAAGCAGTGTTGAACTTCTTCTTCATCTCTTCCAAGCTTCCATAGGTACTATCAATCACCTTTGCCAGTTCGCCGGAAGGAGGCTCGCCGCCGCCTGCGTTCTTGGGTGCGAGGTTCTCCCAGAACAAGGAGTGATTGAGGTGGCCACCGCCGTGAAAGTTGATCAGCGGCTGAAGAGCAATCTTTGTAGCAATATCGTCGTTGGCTTCAGCAGCAGCGTACTTATCAGCAGCATCGTTGTAAGAGTTCACGTAGGTCTGGTGATGTTTGCTGTGGTGCAGTTCCATGATCTTGCCGGATATGGCGGGCTCCAGGGCTCCATAATCGTCTGGTTAAGAGGTCAGTCTCTGGCTTTTAAGACCGAGGTGGGCTGAGGCTCTGAGCTTTTCACTTACATGCGAGGTCAGGAAGAGTAGCCTTCATCCGAACAAATGTTTTGTCGGCGGTGGTCAGGCATCGAGCAGGATTGGTGGCTGCAATAGCTCTGAGAGTGGAGGGACGGGCGACAGATCGAAACAGGGAAGCCATGCTGGTATGATTACTGTGGAAAGTGAAGCCAATTGACCGGGACAAAGCAAGATGAGACTCGTAAGAAGGGAGGAGGAGCTGGGTGGTGAGTTCCCTCCGTAGCCGATGTTTATTTGAATTGGAGACGGCGAGATGGAGCTGCACAAATTATTACATCACTGTGCCCATTCCGGAAATCCTCGTGCGAATTTCGGCCTGGTGGCCTCACCAGGTAGGCTTCACGCTGCCCAGAGTTCTTTTCCGCAGGCACATCGCAGATCACGAACCTTTGCATGTGCCACGCCACAGAACCTGCCACTGCCTGCGATATCACAAACGTGGAGATTCTCTTGCCCGATGCGAAACTCGATATACAGCCTTCACTGTGTAGTTTCGTTCCGCCACCAGATGTCCAGGCAACATGAGCGATTCTTCGGAAGACGACCAACCCTTCAACCTCCGCGACTACGATGACGAAGAATCTGACGATGAGCGACCGCACAAAAGGCGGAAGACGGCAAAGATTCTGCGGAACCGTGGGCTGGGGTTCGTCAGGTCTACAGGTCAAGAAGAGGGGCAGGGAGATGAAGACGAAGAACAAGACGTTGACGATGAAAGACCCTCCATGGGCATGGGCGCAGGCATGGGTGGCTTTCGAAGCTCCTTCAACATCGGCGAATACAACGACGAGGAAGCAAAGGCAGAAAGTGGCACTCCGCCGATGGACAGGTCTCCCCAGAGGAAATCAGAAAAAGCTCCTCGCATGGGCCCCTCAGCGTTTGGGACCGGCGGACGAATGAACAAAAACTCCTTTGCGGCGCGAATGATGGCTAAACACGGCTATGTTGAGGGTCAAGGTCTAGGAAAGTCAGGGCAAGGGATAACAGCACCCATTCAGGCCAAAGTGCTGCAAAGCCGGGCTGGTCTGGGCCAAGGCAGCAGCACACCCGAACCTCCTCGCAGAAGACAAGAAGCAGGAAAGGAAAAGACATCTTCCAAAGGCTCTACTCCTGGCACAAGCACACCGCGTATCAAGGCACCTCCCAAAGCCAAATATGCCGTCGCGGCCATCGAATCGAGGGGCCTCCACGTCCCGGAGGCCATGAAGCAAATCATTGTCGATGCAACCGGCGCCGAAGCCAAAACTGTGACCTCTTTATCAGGGTTCTCAACTCCTACGAGAGAGGCCTCACCATCCCCTGGTCTCGAAGCTGCAAAAGCTATGTCCCGCATAAGACTTCAGCTGCAGGCTTTCGCCGATGCGTGGGACTCGACAAAAGATCAAGAAAGCCATCTGGGGCAGGAAGAAATTCAGCTCGGCGCAGCGCTGACATTGCACGAAGAAGAGATCCAACGCTACAACGAAATTATCTCCGCATTCGAACGAGTCGCTGTGGACGACTCGAATGAATCTCGAGACTGGAAGTCCTCCATATCTCGCCTACAGGGCATCCAAGCCCACTCTTCTCATTACATCTCGGAGCTTTCGCTCCCTGAACTTACCGCCTCCTGCCTCGAAACACCCTTCCGGCGCGAGATGGTTGAATGGGATCCTCTTTCCGAACCCACTCATCTAGTCGATTCTCTGAAGTCGATCGATCAGTTACTCGAGATTGAAAAATCAAAGTCCTCCCGCCACCGCAAACGTACGACGTATTTTGAGTCGTTGCTCCTGTTGCACTGGTACCCGCGCATCCGTACGGCGTTGTCCAAAGATTGGGCTGTGTACGATCCAGACCCGGCGTATAATTTGATCGATGCCTGGACACCACTCCTCCCTCCCTTCCTCATTTACAAGATCCTGCATGAAACCATTATTCCTCGATTAATCGAGGCCGTCAAGCGATTCCCAAAGACCCTCGAGTCTGGCGCAGTCGGTGGTGACAGGACCAAGAAGTCTAGCAGGGCGCCGGATATGCACACCTGGCTCTTTGACTGGTGGACCCTGGTCTCTTCTGACACGCTTGACCTTGAACGTTTCCCCGAACTCAAATCCCTCGTGAAATCCAAGGTCGACGCCGAATCTTGGGCACATTGGAAACCACTGCTCGGGTCGAGAAAACCCAAGCTGCTCCCTTCGGCCACCACACCCGCTACACAACGTACGGCAGCATCTACTACGACGGGCCTTAACGAGGCGATGGAGGAGATGACGTTCAGATCTCTCGTCGAGGAATGGTGTTCCGAGCATAACCTCCTCCTGCAGACCTCGCACAAATCCGACGCGTTTGGTCGGTTGTTGTATCGATTGCAAGATGCCGAGAGACGGAATCGCGGCATATTGGTGTATTTGCAGGACGACGTCGTCTTCGGGGCGGAAGACGGAGAGCCCTATGCGTTGGATGAGCGGTTAATCGGCAAGGCGAGGGGAAAGTGAGAAAAGGTAGAATAGAAGAAGAGGGCATTCACATGCGAGGCGAGAGACCTCTCGAATGAAAGAAGACTGCTATGTAGAACAGCTCTCGCGTTAGGGGGCATTATCTACATACATGCCTAACACATGCCGAGACCAGGACTGAGTGATTGCCTAGGTATGGTAGAATGAAAGAATACGAATGGGTTCTCCCCGCGAAATCCAAGTCTAGAAAAAGGACCTTTCTCTCCCCTTTTATCTTCTTTCGTTTCCGAATGGAGAATGCGTTAAATCGAGCGCTTCTAGATTCCGCCGTCACTGTCTATGTGTGTGTGCTTAGCTAGCTAGGCCCCGGAAAGAACTCGCATGCCCACAATGGCAGTGACAACATCAACAGCATTAACAAACATCGTCACCGTTTCGCGCAGCAAGGGCTTGCCGTCAACCCACGCCAAGCTGTGATCCGAGATAAAGGAGAAGAGGGCACCGGACGAGGTGGTGTAGATTGATTGTAAACTGGCTGGCTGTATCCAACAACTGCAAAGACAGAGAGATGTGTACACCACTTTTATCTTTCCCAACAAAAAAATAGATCCTTGGCCATCATTATCATCCGTCCGGTCGAGAAATATGTCAGCCAGCCCCCTCTCTATTTGTCTCTCACAGTTTGCTCTCTCTCGCTTTCTCCCCTCGCGGAAGTCTGTTGTCTTCTGCCACCTGTTCTTCTCCCTCCAGCTGCCTGTCCACCCTCGAGTCATGTCTGGTTTGATTTAACCTCCCGTCTTTTCATTCTTGCCTTACATGCAAGCGGCGCCGTCAATGCCGATGATCTTGCCGTTCACCCATTCGCCATCCTGCGAGGCCAGGAAGCAAGTGACGCGGGCAACATCGATGGGCATACCGACACGGTTCATGGGGGACCAGGTGGCGGCGTACTCGTCCACCTGATCATCGGTCAAGTTCATGCCGTTGGGGATGTACTCTCGGCAGACGGCGTGGTACATGTCAGTCTTGATACCGCCGGGGGCGACGGCGTTGACGGTGATCTTCTTGTCACCGCAGTCGATGGCCATGCAGCGGACAAAGGTCTCGATGGCGCCCTTGGAGCCCGAGTAGACGGTGTGCTTGGGTACGCCCTTGGCCTGGCCGGTGATGGAGCCCATCAAGATAATGCGGCCACCGACCTCGAGGTTCTTGTATGCCTCACGAGCCACGAAGAATTGGCCTCGGGTGTTGATGTTGAAGACACGGTCGAACTCTTCTTCGGTGACGTCCTTCAAGTGTCCGAAGGAAACGACGCCCGAGTTCGAGACCACAATGTCCAACTTGCCGAAGTGCTTCTTGGCCTGAGCGAACATGTCGACGATCTGGGAGACGTCTGAAACGTTGGCCTGGACGGCAATCGAGTCGCGACCGAGGGCCTTGATCTCAGCGACAAGCTCGTCGGCGGCTTTGGAGGAGTTGGCATAATTGACCACAACATCGGCGCCACGGCGGGCGAGTTCGAGTGCAGTCTCACGCCCCATACCTCGCCCTGTATTGTGATCATTCTGTTAGCTTTTCTCCTTTCTTTTGTTTCTTTCGTTCTCATCTTTTTGGGGGAAATGCGGGCTTTGGTGGGAGAGGCGGTGAAGGGCCAGGTCGCCGAATCTTTTTCTCAAAGGGCTGCTGCTCGCAGTCTTGGAACTGGACTCGATCGCCTCTTTCTGGACGTACCTGATCCTGTCACAAGGGCAACTTTGCCAGTGAGGAGGTAGCTGGGGACGGGCTGGTCGACGGCAGGTGCAGAGCCATTGGCAAGTCTGGTCGAGTTTCGTTTAGACATGGTGGAAGCGGTGTGGGTGTGTTCGTCTAAGAACTGTTCAATGGGCAGGAGAGAAGTATCCAAAAGGCGTGCAAGAGATGCTAGGGGAGGACGAAGGCGATATGTACAGACTCAGAGAAGGAGGGAGCGAGTCGAGGGAAAAAAAGGTGAGTTTTATTGAGAGGTCACGGTGTTAGGATAAGGGGTGGTGATTGTTTGTGCCCCCCTCGCTCGTTCGCTCCGTCCCTCCTCCACCAAAAAGTTCAATTGGGAATATTATTTTTAACAGTCCATCAGCCGCAGCTAATGCTCTGAGTGGGGGGCGGCGATCGGCCTAGTTGGCTTAGCGGCCACTAACGAGTGACGCTCAGGGCCTCAGTGTCTGCCAGGGGGCCAACGCGGAGGGGCGCTTGTCACTGGCTCACGGGGATTGTCAGGTTCGAACGAGTGGGTAGAGGGGCATTTAACCACCAACTACCCAAGTACTGTCTCCTAGAGGGTGCCTAGGGGCTCTGGGCACTAACACATAGCCACAGGGGGGTACCGAAAAGGTGTCCTGGTGTCCAGGTGGCCCTTCTGTGTTGGGCTGGCTCTATGAGATCTTTCACCGCCCCCGGCTTCCGGGTTCCAGAGCCTGACTGACTGTCAACTCACTGATGGGGTCATTGGGGGCCCTTCTTCTTCTTCCCCTCTCCCTTCCACTCTTTCACTTCTTCCTCCATCTTCACTTTCTCCTTTCTCTTCTCCGTCACCGTTGAACTCTGCCGGACTCTGGCTCTTGCACAAGGGGGGTTGGTGACTACCAAAGGCCCTTGTTCCGCATTCAGAGACTCATTCAATCGAAGCTCCCGACCACAATGCCTTCTCCGGTTGCATGGTGCGCCCCTCGGTGGCCTCCCACGCCTCGGGCCCGGACTAAGTCTAGTTCTGTGGCTGTTGGCGAGTCGGCAGCTTTGCACGATTCAGGGGACCACCGAAGGGCCCGTTTGGCAAGAAGAGAGATAGCACTAATGGACATTCGTCGATCTTTGCGCCTTGTTTAGTTTGCACGAACGCGCATCCAAACGTTGTTATTTGGTACATGAATACGACTGCGTACAAGTCCTTCAGTCATTGAGATTGCAGTCTTTGCGAACTTACTCGTAGATGCGTGGTCTTGTGTTTTCCTTTGGTTTCATTTCCATCCCTACATCCCTACCGAGTACACGGAGGTAGAGATAGAGACAAGCTCGGAGATTTCTCTTCCCTCGTTCTCAGCATCTAGTAGCAGGTCTAGGCCCTCGTCACCCCGAGATGAGAGTCCCGGTACGCCTGCCGCTAAAGGGGTCCGCTTCGTTCTTGGTCTTATCAGCCTGGTCCCTGGTGTTGAAGGCGTAAACACTACATACATAGTAACTACAAACCGTACGTACTATCTATGCACGAAGTACGGAGTGCCTGGACCTGGACCTGGACCTCCGCCCAGGGAGGGTATCCGCGTTGGAAACAAAAATTAAAAATTAAAAATAATAAAAACAAAAATAAAAATAAATGTTATTGTTCTCCCCCGGTCTGCACGAAAAACCTACTCCCACACACACACATATGTACTGGTAGAACAACAATAGTTCTCCTCCTCGGCCTTCATCCGCGTACGCATACCGTACCGTCGCCCTTTTTTCGCGCGCCGTGCCATGAGCGATGTGCGTTGCTTGCTTGGTCCGGATGTGCGCGCACATACAGGGGCCCCTTTTTCCAGATTTCCACGCAAAGTCCGCCGCGACGTTCAGCATTGCCTTGGTACCTAGCGAGTCCATCTTAGTCTGTTGGTGTGCCTGGAGCCTCGTGGCGGACGCCGGTGTGAAGGAAGAAAAAGGGGTTCCGAAAGCGGAGTTGTTGAACTCCGGCGCTAAAATAAACACACTAGTGGAACTTTAAAGGGGCATCCCACGTGCCATCCACGTGATTAGGGCGCCAGTGTTCGACCTCTCCTTTGCGTTGAGCGCTTATGTTATCATTGCTGGCTCCTCCCCAACGCGGTTTGATATTCGAGCTGCCATCCGTCACTGTATCCAATTATCACCTTAGCGAGAGCATTCTGGAATCCTCGACCGCGACTCTGATCATCTTTTTCACTTCGGCTTTCCAATTGCTCTCGCGCCACTTCTCCCACCGCCCAAACCCTTCATCGACCTCCAAGTTCAACGTTTCATAACCTTCCTTGATAACTTTCTGAATCGCTGCCGGCGACTGATGTGTCTTTTTGCCGTGTTGTACTTTCAACAGTTCATGGTAATGAGAGGAAACGCTAATCAGCGCCTCAACCGATCGCTCCAGGGTATCGGATTGTGAACTTCCGTCGCAATACGCTTGCTTGAACCTGTGTAAAACATCGTTTGCCTCGATGAGCTTGTAGAAAAAGTCGTCAAAACTGGATGGATCTGGCAGGAACCCGTCACCCTTCGACAAACAAAACGCAGCTAGACTTGCGAGCGTCGCACACACGTCTTGCCGAATATCCCTGACATGTTTGAGGTCGCTGGCATACTGCGTCAGAAACCGCATCAATGACAAGAGCGAGCCCCATATGTATGCCCAATTGTGCTGAAGCCGCGTCTTGGTCTGTTCGAGGTGTGTCACTATACGTAAGATAATGCCCAATGCAAGGCCGTACAGGCGGACATCCAGCCTCTTTCTCAAGTTGTGGCTAAGGATGTCTGTGCATATGTCCAAAATGGCTGCTGCAGGGATCCTTGCAGATGTGACCAAAGGAAGATGAGGTGGCCTTTGACGGCATAGTCGAAACAAGGCTTTAGAATCCGCCGAGCAAATTCCTTTGGCCAACACCGCATCTTCGACAATTATCCTGATGGAGAGCAGACACAAGACGGCATATGTCGATTGTCGCGGCCCACGGTAGGCATGATGCGAGATATATGAGGTCATGGACAGGAAAGCAGAAAATGGCGCCTCCTTATCTTTCTCGGTTGGCAGATTCAAGAGATTGGCAGCAAATAACTTGTTTGCTTGGGTGAAAGAGTACAGCGAAAGGATACAAGAGGCATCCTCCCCAGGCAGGGAAAGAAGCAAAGCCTTTGCTTCCTCCTCCGATGGAGGCGCTGGTTTCTTTGCGTCAGTTGACAATGACCGAAGTCCGACCATAACAAGTGTCGAGTTCAAACTCCATGGTGCAGGATAGTCATCCTGAACAGAGACGTATTGGTCACGTATAATTACACATGCATTGGCGAAATTGCGAACCAAAAGTCGAATTGTTTCCTCGTTGACGAAATCCTCCAGCCGGTTCTGGTACACATTCTGAGCCTCAAATTTGTTGTAACTGGACAGTATGCCGATAACGATGAACGCCTTGAGGCTGGTGGTGGGAAGTTCGGGAGTGTCATGGACATACTGGATTCCGAATGAGCGAGACTCTCGCTCCCACGGTACGTGCTTACCTTCATCAACGCCGAGAACAGATCACGGTGCATGAAATAAGTGACAAGACTTGTGTGGAACCCGCCAGCAACCAGGGCGAGGACGGTATCAAGAGATTTGCTTCGCAAAGAGTCTTTGCCCGCCTGTCGGATAATTGATTCGAGGGTATGGACGAGGTCTGACATCAATCTGTCAATGGTGTCCAGCCCAGCAAGTACTTCGATGACGTCGGTATTAGGATTGGTGTACTTTTTGGTAAAGACAGCGCATAAGAAGGCTGTCAGATTCTTCAAGAGGTCAAATTCAACCCTTTGAGGAGAAAAATACAGGGAGCAACGTACGTCGAAGGCGTTTTCGTTCTGCGGGAAAGCTCCTGAGCCTGCTTCGGCGATGGCACGCTTGAAGAATAGTCGCATCTGAGCCTGTTTATCCGTTAGGTGTGAGAAATGAGCGAATGCCAGCGTGAGAGCTGACTATACTTGCATATGGACCAAATCAAAAGCAGTCATGGGCTCGAGAATGTCATAGAGCCCTTGCTTGTCAGGCTTGAGCAGGAAGAACTCCCGCCAAAACCCTTCAGAAGGGACCGATTCATCAGCATCCTCGTTTGCAAGGACGTTGAAGAGGTGAAGATAAAGCTGGATGATTTTAGGTTCAAAGGAATCAGGCCTCGATTGCTGGGTCAGGGGCATCTCCATGACGATAGCAGACGTTCAGAACTGGGACCGCAATCTGAGTTCATACTCCTGAATCAAGGCAGTGACCGTATTATGGCTGGAAAGGGAATGACTGGAGGCTGTGAACGCAATGCGGCTCGTGTATGATGGATGAAAAGCTGAACAAACGGCGACGCTGACGAGGCTTAGCCATGTAAATGTGATCGCGATTCGGCCCAAAGGGTATGGACGCCAGTGGCAGAAATGCAGGAAGTATTTTCTCTTGGATGAAAGACTCACAGTTAGCACCTTTTTGGAGCCCCGATCTTCATTTCTCACCTACATCTGCATTGGGCACTTAACAGACAAAGCATATCAGAAAAAGAAAAGGAGATGGATTATCAGTGTCACGTTATTCATGTCACGTTATCGGTCACGTGGTGATTGAAATCAATCAATGCCGATTGGCTGGTCACCAGAGCGAACTCGGCTGACAAACTCAGAGAATGACGGAACTTTCTGCTTCTGTCCTAAAACTGCGCCTCCATCCTCGACCTGAATTCTGGGATTCTCTCTATCTGTGCTATAGCTTTCTCTCATTATTGAAAGAGTGGACACCCGCTGACACACCTCTGCAATGTCGGCGACACATCTTGTCCCGACAACGTCGTCATCGGTTATCTTCTTTCGTGCCCTGGCGATTGTCTCGACCGCCCGATCATGCCCTCATCATGCCTTCAGAACCTTCTCCTCCAGTATAGCCAGCCAACAATCATCAAAGCGAGAGTTATACACTACGCCTTCTTACCAGCCTCATACTCTGCCCACCGACTTCCCTCTACTTCCTAGAAACACCGGCATTCCCGACACCTCAATCGCTGGACCCAAACCACAACTGAAGGACACGAGACAAGACCAGGGAAACGCGGCACCGCAGAACAAGTTGGA